TGATAAGGCGGGCAACATTTTACACCTTTTTTCTTTTCCTTATGCCAATGAATTCTTATACAGCACTAAATATGGAAACAATTTTAACAGCTCAATTCAAATTTGGACAACCATTTTTTGCTCGTACTTTCATCCTCAAAGCAGGAGAGTTGTTATACAAACTGACACAATATTACTTCAATGTGGATTTTAGATATTTTTTTCTCATAGTAGATAAATTCAATTGTTTTTATAAATTTTGATAATCTTTTGTAAGCAGTAACTTTATCTGCTTTTGGGAAAAATATATAACATATAATTAAGTGAAGAGGAATGCACCCAGATTACCTTAAAATAAAAACAATAAATAATAAAAATTCCTTGCATCTTTCAATGTTACTCACTTTAAAAGTTCTCCAATCTCTTGCTGAAGCCTCAAATATTTTGAAGCCTATATATAAACTAATATTGAATTGATTAAGTCTGCAAAGACTAAAACTTGCAAAGACACTTTGCGTCAAAGGTGAATCTTTGTTTACTTTTTGGAAGCACTTCTGGAACAGATTCTGGAAAGCTATTTCCAACAGAGAAAGGGCCAGTTGATCAGATAGAAGCCAAACTAATGAAAAGCATCATGGAAGTGACAGGAAGATTAATTAAGTTCCTCCAGTTGTATTCACAGGCGACTGTGCAGAGTTCCTTTGGGTAGTGCTGCAGTTAAGTAGTATTCATGGTGACAAATAATGCAGAGTTCTGGAACTGACACTTCTGATTCAAGTGTAAAAAGAAAGCAAAGCATCACATTTAGTAATTATTTTAAATTTTGTCCAATGAGGATAGAAAAAAAATAGTGATAAAACTCCTGTGCTTTGTCGAAAATACATAGAAGTACACAACACATCTGTTAAACAGCATGCTGTTCAGCTGGCTTTTTATTTTCAGTGAGCAAGTCAGCAGGTTGATGTCATGCCATTATAAACTAGTTATGGGCCACTCAGTTGGGTCCAGAATTTTCTTGGGCTGCCAGAAACCATCACCTTTGAAACTTCAGGCAGGACTGCTCTATGGAACAGGTGCTATAGCATGAGGTAGTTTAATGTTCCAAAATCTGAGCATTTTAGCTTCAAGATTACATTCCTTTAAGATTTCTTTTGTTTTTCTATTCTTCAGGAATCACTGATAGTTCTACAAATGCAGATTTATTTGAAGCATTTTATTCAACTTTATTATACCATATCAGTTGCTGTGCTAGAATGTGTCTATAAGGGGATGTATAAAGGAAGACCACACTCCAAGGAAGGGAATGAAATATGACACACTATAGTCTGGAATGGAATAGTGGAAAGAGGAAGAGATTAGGATAGCTTATTCTAGAGTATATCTGTTATGTTGTAGGTATGTAGGATATCTGAACCTTGACTGGATTTTTTTTGGCAATTTTGATGCCAGACCTAGCTTATCAAAAAATCCAATAACCCTGGATAATCCTTTGTAGACACCTTCCATTAGAATTGCACAGATTTTCAAGTAGATATTTCATTTTGATGATGGCTTGCCCTAAGTTACCGATAGTTTCACAAAGTTGTTACTTAACTCTAGGGGCAAGGGCCCCTAGAGTTAAGTAACAACTTTTTGCTTTGTTTTGTTTCCATCTATGTCAATTTCAGTACCTGTAAAAAGGTTCTGCAGAAGAGCTATTGAGATTGCAAGATGATGCAACATGCTTTGTAGAATTCAAGTAGTGTTACTTTTTCATAGCACTTTCATGTATAAAGAGATTTGTTGAACTGAATCAAAGTCAATTTGATCGATCTTATAAGCCACTTCACTATTTTGTTACAATGAGTTGTTTCAGCAATACTTTGATGAGGCATGTGCTCATACAAAAATCCACATGACCAAATCCACATGTTTTATGCAACTGAAGTCATTGTGCTGATCCAGAAAGAAAACATGAATTTAGAGGAATATGGAGATAAACTTGATGAAAAATTGCAAGAACTATTATGGATAAATAAAAGAAAACTCAGTTTTGGGAAAGGGGAAGAAAAGAGAGAAAAAATTCAAAATAATCATGATTTAACTCTACTTGGTATAAAAAGGGAAGAAAACTCTGGTAGTTTTCCATGATTGTGTTATTAAATCTTACAACAATAAAGTAACTTTCCTGTAGTTCTGATGAGTGCACCTCTAGATGCGTTTCCTTTTCAGGTGCTAGTTCAGAGAAGGAAGATGAACTGTTCCTGGCACCTCCAGGAGAGACATGGCAGTGAGCACAGGGGCTGTTGAATATACAGATTAGGAAGCAGCAAGTTCCACCTTGATTGAACAACTGCACCTGGAATAACCAGATGGGCAGCTGGCTGAGCTCAGGCACTGAGAATCATAGCTGTACCAACATAGCCTTGAGGCTCCAGGGAATAAGTGAAGCCACCAATGGCCAGTGCAGAAATTATTCCCTCCCCAAAATCCAAGGGTGTGCAGAGCTGAGGTGATAGGAACAATGCTGGTTAGCCAGGCTATTAATGAGATTCTTACATTCTTAAATTTTAAATAAATTTTTAAATTTTTGCAATTTTTAAAAAGTTCTTAGCCATATAATTAGTTTATCTTTTATTTAACAAATAAACTTAATTCACCAAGTGGGTTTTCAAATTTGTTGCCTGAAGATGTCTAATGTCTTTATGTAAACTGGTATTTCCTAAAAGTAATTAAAAAGTGAGTGAGTTTGGTGTTCTTTAAAAGGATTTGAAGCAGTTAAGGACATGATGGTTCCCTTTATCTCTTGGAAATCAATCCTACAGAAAATTGCTGTCTTGTAATCTACTTGTGAGGAGCAGTTGTCCAGAGCACAAGGCTTATTCAGAGACATCTTAGTTCACCATTCATCACCAAGAAACTCACAGCATTCACAATTTTATACCTAGATGGAGCCACTGCTTCACTAGCATTTGAAATCATTTTAAAAAATATCTTATTTGATGGATAAAGTAATGGATGCCATATCAACTTCTCCATTCTATTCCTAAATATTTTGGTACAATCAATTAAATGATCTCCTACAACTATTATACATTTATTTTGCTTACTGAATATGTAAATCATGTATTGTTCTTGTTTGATGCATGTGTTACATTCACTATTGAGTTAAACAAGAAAGTATCTTTAAGCAGGGCTTAATTCACAAGCTTTAAGTATATTACATTTGTCATCTTTTTGATGCAAAGGCTATTTGGACCTCTTTTCTTCTGTTCTATTTTATCAACTAATAGGATTATATTAATTAGCAGTAATTGCTTTTATTTTGTTTATTTACCTCTTTAAGCCTAATTGATATAAATGAAGTAATTAGAAAAATGAAGTTGAAGTAGTAAATCCTATCTGAATAGATAAAAATATTTTGGTATATTTCCCTTCTCTTGTTTTTTTTTCCTTTATCTAAAATGATCATTGCTACTCAAAGACTTTATATTGATTTTATTGTAAAACAATGTCTGTAGGCAACATAGTCTTCCATGTGCAGTCTTATTAGTTTCCATCAAAATTTGACCTAGAGCATCTCGTCTTAAAAGTAAAAATGCATGTTAATAATTGTGTCTCTGATCTTGGTAACTCAGATGCCAATTGTAATAATGTCTCAGATCATGTGTGAACTGTCTGGATACATTGCATTTGTCTTCTAGACAAGATAATGAAATAATGATAATCTCCTAGTAATGTCACCTGGGCATGTCAGTAGCCTTGTGATAAAAGGTTCAAATTCTTTTTTTATCACGATAAAGCTTTCTCTCCTCTTATTAATTGCAAACATACGGACTGAAAGTGGTAATAGGAATCTCTTCATAATATCCTGTTCAAAGGTTTGTGACAGCACCATAGACTTTGGTGACTACTGTGCTATCAATATTATTTATCTCACATAGAAACAGAACTGGGAGGGGAGAAAATATCTATTTCAAGGATTTTAAATGATATATTTTCTGTGAACATGCTAAAGATCTCAAAGGTATCCTATGAAATTTAATTATCCTCAGATAAAGAATGGACTTTTTCTGAATGTAGAATTTTATTTAGCCAAATAACAGCAGCCACATATAAGATTGCTTAGGGATATTTGCAAAATATCCCTATGCATTTTACTTAGGAGAGGAACCCTAAATTTCTTAAGAGTGAGTAAGCATTGTCTGGTAGACAAGGCTTGTTGAAAATAGGATAAAGTATCCTGGAAAAGAGTAAACATATTTGTTTCTGTGTTCGAATTAGTTATTGGTCTCCATTGTCTTATAGTAGCTGTGATTCTGCAGCCTTGAGGAAAGGTAGGGCAATTCCAAAATGTGTAGAATGCCATGGTACTTTTACCCCACTTTCTTTTATTTTTAGAATTTATGTACCTTCCCTGTCTGCTTGATTTTTTTCTTGAACAACTTTCCCCCAACCTGAAACCAGTAGTTAGATTTTAAATAATGGGTGTTGTGAAATCATATCTATAAAGTGCCAGGTCAATGAAGAACGTGTTAACTTTCTGATTGTAAGAGAGAAGCACCTTGCTGGCAGGTGCTATTCTCAAGCCTTGTTCCCTAATGTGCATCTCTGCTTGCAGGCTTCCCCTGAAGGCTATTGTTGGCTTGGCCAGAACGCTGCTCTTTTGAACTTGGTCTTCTCTATGGTGAAGAGCAGCTAAAGTTGCTCCCCCTTGTGAAACGGAAGGTATTGTGTCCGTGGCCATACTTGATGCTAGTTGTGGGGTTTGGCGGGGAGAACATGTGGGTAACGTAGCAGCTTAATCAGGAGCATCGGCTTCCCCCTTTAGTCTCAGTTCCCACCTCCCCCGATCCTCAGAGAAAGAGCGGCGTCCAAATAGCGCGCGCTCTATTAGTAGTACTCCCCGTCCTGATGTCACAGCAAGGACATCACAAGGAGGAGTCAGATTACACTACGACTGGGCAGTACAGCATGCAGCGGGAGTCGACGCTAAACTAGAGCTGGATTGTATCGGGGAAAAGCCTGTCTTTCAAGCCCTGAGCCAAGGAGGCTCACGCCGCTCGCTCTCGTAGGCTTGGAAATTTCCACATCATGTAGGATGAGACAGACTCTCTCTGCTTCAGGCGGCAGCAGCTTGGCGCGGGAGCTAATGCTGAGCAGCACCCTGCGGTGGAAGCTGGAGTGCCCAATTAATGAGAAACATAATGTATTTTGGTAAGTCACTTTCCACTCCGACTTCCTTCTTTCGCGACGGACGTCAGCGGTAACCTGGGAGAGGGTTTTGAGCTCTCACCTTCCTTTCTGTGGCTGCGCCTAGACTTCGCCCTCGAGAAGGACAGTGGAGTTATTTCCCTCTCCCTTGAGACCAAAGGAGACGTCGATTGTCTCGGGAAAGCTGTTTTTCTTTCTTTGCCGGTGGTACTGTAGCTTTGCTGGGTTGATCTGTCTGCGGAGGGAACGACGGCCAGTCCCCGTGCCACCCCCGCCCTTCCACCTTCAAAGAAAACCTGGGTGCCAACCGCTGTCGCAGGGGTGGCGAAGCGTGGGAAGTTAGAACCAAACTTAATGCCATAAGGCACTACCGGGCGTCGCTGCTCTGTTAAGGATTCGCTGCGCTCTCTGTAAACTCTTCCACCTTCCCACTTTACAGAAAGAGCTTTTACAGAGGAAAAAAAGCTGCTTTCTTTGCAGAGCTCTGGATTTCTCTTGAGTATATTATTTTTCCCCTTCCTGCCATATTCCCAGTATTGGGGATAATATCCCCACCCGAAACACGAAGAGAAGATCTGGTATTCGTAATAAGTGTGCGTGTAAAAAAAAAAGCCTTCTGACGCCTGGGAGCAGTTCAGCGTTTAGGTGTGATGAAGCCTTTCGTCAGCTGAAGATGGTTGGTTGCATTTATTGCAGGAAGATGCTGGAGCTAGGAAGTTCCTTTTTTAAAAAAAAAAAAAACTTTAAACATCTGCGTCTGACAGATAGACAAAATAAGTGGATTAGAGTGCTCCAACAAGGGGAACTCTCTTGGAGGCAAAGGATACAATATAATAAAATTACTGTTTACCACTCTGATATGTAGGAAAGGAAGTAATGTATTTAAAAGGAGAATATTTTACATTCTCAGTAGCTTAGTGTTTTAACAAAAATTTAGTGCAGCTGATTGATATGCAGTGATACACAGCATTGAGAAAGGAACTCCTGAAGTTGTGGCTACAGATTTCTTTAATTAAATATTAAATCCAAAGTTGAACTTGAACTTCAGGATGAACTCTTTGATGGTTTTCTGTTCCTCTAATATTAGTTTCCCTTGATTTGAACTAGGAAGTTGGTTATGAGAACAGCATGTTTCATATAGCACTTTTCTTTTACTTTGGCTAAAGTGTTACACTACTATCCTGAGAATATCTAGCACTGAGAATGATGTACTCATCTTAAGAAAACTTTTTAAAATTTCTGGAACACCTTTCCTACAAATGAGGAATGTTCTGTTGTATGATCCACAAAGGAGAATTGGGAAATTAGTGGGAAGCTATAATTCTTGCTCAGTTTTTTTGTGTGAGACAGTCAGCTCAATGTTTTCAGAGATTTGTAAGAAATTAAGTGCAACCCAAAGTATTTTGTCACCATGCAGTAAACAGAAGGGAGGTTATAGTGTTATGCTAAGCAAATTGACACTTGCTGATAAGCTGTGAGAATTTTCTGTAATCGACTCACATTGCTTGCTTTTCTTGAAGTGCCCCCTTTAAAATGGGTAGTATGAAATGTGCTGCCAGCTGAGCTTTTAGAATAGATTCTCAGTACTGAGGTATGCAATACTTTTGCATTTGATCTTGGCAAAGACCTGTGATCTATGTTATGTCTGATCACAGCTGCAGGATCAGTATATTACTAGGTATAAGTCCTGTGTTCTCCAACAAATAAAATGAACCATTAGCAATGTTTGCATTTTTGAACCCTGTTCCAAAGCTTAATATTTCTTCACCATAGCTTTACTGTTCAAAGTCTTTCTAAAGTCATAAACCGGTATTCATAAATCAGCTATTAATGCATTAATTTGAATATGCATTATAATCTTTCTCACTTTAAACATATTTATGTTTCCTAAATTGACTCAACTAATTTGAGGGGAAATACGCATGATTAACATTTTTTTCATTAAAATTGGAAGATTCTATATCTCTTTTTCCAAGTACCAAACATGTACAGAGCACTGATTGACATCCCCATTTTTCTCTGCCTATTTTTGTAACCATGTCAGTCACGTTTTCAAAAGACTAAAATTTGTCATTCACCTGTCTGTATTAGGAATCATGTAGAATGAAATAGACTTAGCTAGGGACAATTTTGACTAGAGAAAAGGATAAACATGGGACATTGCCATTTTATTTAAAGGAATAAGATATAAAGAAATGGATAACTGTGGCTAAGAAAATACCATATTAAAGTTTCATTTTTAATGCAGGTATTTAATACTAAATAATCCATTTAGAATAGGTTTCAATCTTTTTGAAAACCTTGCTAATTTCTGCTAAAAGATAATTTTATGTAAAACATTAATTTTATATATGTATATAAAATTTTAGACATTTTTAATATACCCTATATACATGAAGGTTTCCTTCACTTCTATAGGCCTTTTCTGTCTTTTGGGTGTTGTGAAATCACATCTATAAAGTGCCAGGTCAAGAAAGAATGTATTAAGTTTCTGACTGTAAGAGAGATAAGCTCCAACAAGCTATAGATTATGCCTAAACCTAAAGTAACTTTTTTGCTTAGCTTTTTGCTATATTGTGGCATTAAATTGCCATCTTTAAAGCAGCAGCTTTCTTATTTCTATGAACATCATGGGTAGATAAGAAGAATATCATTTTCTTTTTTTTTCCTTGGATATGAACTGACAACATTTAGATGCCACATTTAGTTCTCTAAGGTATAATATAATTTTGTAATTTCAGCACCATTATGAATTCTGCTGAATTCATTGAGATTGGCAACTTGAGGGTTGGGGATGCTTGTTTCATGACACTGACAGGTTTTTTTATAAATAGAAAGTGTTCAACTTTTTCTATACAATTATAGGTTAACAATTTTATTAAGATGTATTGGGAAATTAGGATTCTGTTTTACCCCTCCAATTGATTAATTTCCCCTTCTTTGTATAGGTAACAGACAAATCGTTGAGGTCTCAGGCAGAGAAGGCTCTTTTCTATATCAATATTATTATCACCTTCTATGTTAATATGAGAGGGAAATAACATAAAATAGTAGCAAGCCATATCACAGCATAAATTATTATTAAAAATAATAAGAATACTAATAGTACTTTCAAAATTATTAATCTTTATTAATGAAGAGTATTTGTGGTGAACCTTCTCAAGACCAAAAGTCTGCTTTTTGGTGTTCTGGAGAGTCTCATTTCATCTTGTGCAGGCAAATCTACATAACAAAGAGATAGTCAGGACTAATTGTTCATCTCCTTATAATAGATAATCTTGAACTTAAAAGATCTGACATAAAATGTAAAGTACAGCTTTTTATTGGAGTTCAGTAGATATTATTAAACTATATGTATCCCAGGCCATTATCATTTTGTGGTGAATAGCTTTGTTGAGCTGAATGCAACAGTATTGCTTGTACTCAGAAACAGGAAGGGGAAAGGCATTTTGACAGGGTTTAGATTCCAGGAGAATGTTCTCCATGACTGCAGTCAAAATACATGCTTATGTTACAATTACATGATTGTGCATGCTGTCTTAGGAAAACCAGTAATCTACACAGTGAAATAGCAATATACATGTTGTTCGGATTGATTGCTTTGCTTTGTAGAAATATTCTCTGGGGGAAAAAATTCTACAAAAAGGGAGGACCCGCCCTTTTTTGATAACTCGTTTTCTTTAGAAGTTTGTTATTTATTCTTATTTTTTTGCTATACTGTCATTTTGAGTAATTCTCTGTTACTCTCATTTTTAGCCCTATGTTTTATAGTGAGCTATGTTACAAGATTTTGCTTAATAAATCTGGATCTATTCGATTTTGAGAATTAATCTCAATTTATTCTCAAATGTATTCTCATTTTTTTTGTAAACAGTAGAGAGACAGAAGTAAATTTTTCACATTCATTCACACAATTCTTTTCAGGGACCAATTCCCTCTCCCTTCTAGTGAACACAGTTCTGGATATGATCTTGCCATCTTCATATTCTTTCTTTGAGTATAACTTTTTATTTTTGTCAGAGTTTTATGAAGGAAAAATTGATAATCGATGAGTCTAAAAGAAAACCAAGTGTCATTCTTTCCTGAACCTCAGAGATACTTAAAAAATGTAAACTGAAAATGTGAAATACATCACTTGCCATTTCATAGGAAGTACTTCTAGTTTGTTAACAAGCTGCAACATACATTGGGGAAAATTCTATTCAATGAAGTATTTCTCTATGAATGAATCACAGAAAATTCTTGAGAGAGCACATTAAAAATAAAATGTTTTTAGACACTATTTATACTTAGCTGTTCCCTGTGTGGTATTTTACAATCAATGTGTTCAATAAAACACTGTAGTTAATACATAATGGACATTGATTGCAACAGAAGAATATTTCTTAGAATCATCAGGTTATAAGAATCTTAAAATCCCAAAATATCTTTTAGCGTGACTGCATTTGTTGCAAAATGTAGTATACATTTCTGAATTTGGGAATGTACAAATGCATACATGAGTGAAGGCATTACAAGGAATAACAATCCATATTGCATTATTAAAAATCCCTATCATAGCCTCTATTTAAAACAAATTGCCCATTTGCAGACATTTTAAGAACTATTATTATTAAAGAAATTTCCATGAATTCTGATATTGGGGGACTCTAATAAACCTTTCTGAAGCTGCATAATCTCTTAACATCTATCTCAGCAGTTTTATATTTCATGATAGGAAAGGCACCATCATGATTTTGTATGATTGAATTATATAGAAGTAAATATTTGAAATGGCAAAGTGTTACATTGATTGTATTGTATAAAATATTTTGAATCCCACCTTGTCTCACTGCAGAGACAGGGTGATATCCTATGTACCTATGTTCCTCCCACTCTTCTGCCCTTGGGCTGACAAAAAAAAAGTCCAATTAAAGATTGTGACTGCCTTCTGAGTCTGCCTGCCAAATGGGTTTTGCTTTGGGGTGGTTTTTGGTTTTTTTTTTCTTTTTTGCCAGAAGCCT